GGGGGGGGGGGGGGGGGGAGTCATTTGTCTGAGGCCACACAATAGGTTGGTGGTATTAAGGGCTCAAAGATCTTGAATACCCACGTGTCACGGTGCTTGGTGGAGGATGTGCTGCTCAGGAAGCAGTGGCTGGAAGGCTGGGCTCTGCAACTGACCCCTTGAGGACCCTATAGCATCTCCAACCCCCGTCAGACTTTCTCTTTCCCCTTAAACCCTCTTACCCGCAGGACTAGGCATGATGGGGGTTCCTGGAGGGCCGCCACCACCAGGGGGTCCCTGAGATGAGATAAAAGCTGGCATCAGTTACCTGTGATAAGAGGCTTGGGGAAGCCACCACATTCCCTCCCAGTGCCCAAGCCACCCTGACACTGTTTCTTGCTGAGCCTCTTTTATATGCCTAGAGCATACACACGTGAAGAGAGGTGGACTTTCCCTTTTCCTCTCCTTAAACCAAGAGGCACCCACGATGGGTATGTGCACACTTGCTCATGTACATGCATGCCAATCAGTGAGAGCCAGCGGCATTAAGTGGGACGTACAGCCTGCTGGGCAGCCATTCAGAAGGAGCCTCCTCCCACATCAGGTTTAGGGATGTCTGGGCCACACTGGGCTTATACAAATGCCTCAACACTGACAGCAAACCCTAGCAATTTGGGTGCTGGGTGCAGATTGTGTCCTTACAGGAAACATGTGAGACCCTTAGTGGTTCTCCTGCCAGTCAGATGCAATGGACAGTCAAGAGCCAGGGCTGCACTTACCACATAGGTACCAGGTGATGAGGAGGAGTACGGGATCTGGAAGGGAGATGTGGGAGTCATGTTTTCACTTCCAAACCCACCTGGGGGCATACCCAGGCTTGGTGATACAGTGAGCTAGTGACTTCGTTAGTTTCTCTAGGAGGCCTGATATATGAGCAAAGTCACACTACAGTGGTCCTTAGGGCTAGTCACCTCTCCCTAGTCTTGAGTTGGAGCCTGGGAATAGGGTCCCAGGAGGCCTCCCAAGTTGTGGGGAAATGCACACGCACGCACGCACGCACGCACGCACGCACACATCTTCTTCTCAGCTGGTCTATGTACCTCACCATTCCTTCCTCTCAGTGCTAACAGCCTAAATTTCCCTCTCTGAACAAATGATGTTTCTGGAGCCTAGGCTCTCAGCTGATACCTGGGAGCTTCTGCAGGGCAGGGCCACCCTTGAGGATGCCAGAACATTACCTGAGGGTTCCACCTACTTGTGCCTCCTTCTTGGAGGCATCAGATGGAATCTTCTCCCTCCCTGACACCTCCTCCTGGGGACAGGAGCCACCCTGTGCTCAGAACCTCTTTCCTGACAAACAGTGCCCCACTTGACCTGGATACTCACTGAGTTAGCACTGTTGGGATTGGGCCAGGGTCTGCCAGCTCCTGGGCCCCTGAGAGAAGGAGAGATGGAGACAATGAAAGCGGTGCTACAGAGTCTAAGGAGTGGAGCCGGCAGGGGCAGAAGAGCAGGCCAACATCAATAACAGAAGTCCTTCACACAGGCCTACGGTCCTAGAGGCCATTTGAATTGGACTCTGGGATAGTAATGGATAGCTCCATGGTGGAGATGTATGGACTCCTTTAAATTACATGTAAACAGTTTACAAGATATTTATATCTAAAATTCTCTCTGAATTTTCCTAGGAAGATAGGCTACAGATTCCTGCATAGGCTAAAAATCACTTGAACACTAGAGATCAGAGGCTATTTGTACAGGGATTAAATCTTGGCTCAGTTAATAAAAGCTGGGCAAGCCTAAGGAAGTCACTTCATGTCTCTGTGCCTCAGGGAGTTCATCGTAAGTGGGGAACATAACACCCCTGTTCACAGGGGTAGCTTGTGTCTGGCACTGTGCCTGCCATACAGCACTGTACCAGGCAAAGCTCTTACACCTGGGATCATCAACACCCTCATCCTGTTGAGGAAACTGTGGTCCAGAGAGGTACAAGTGACTCCTACTGTGAGTCTTCTGGGGTGCCAGCAGAGGGTGGGGAGGCCACAGGCTCTAAGCCACTGGCAGGAGCCTTTTTGCCTTACATGTTAATCCCAGGCATGGCGGGGCCGAGGGAGTTGGGTGGTGGTCTCATGCCGCTGCCGTAATTCTGCAACGATAACCAAGGGTCAGTCTATGAGAAGGAGAAGGGGAACCGGGGAGGGAAGGAGGAAGGGGAGACAAACACAGAATATAAGTGAGAGGGTTAGTCTGTGAAGACGACCTGATGAGAAAAAAAAATCATACATTCTTTCAGAAAGGTTGGGGTAGGTAGGGACCAAGTGACAGGGACCACAATGACAGTAAGCCAGCACAGAGGGTCACAACAGTCAATGCATTTTCCAAGGGATTCAAAATTGATGTTCCCTAAAACATGGGGTGTTCAGTAAGTCATTGGGCAGCCCCTTCCCATAGGCCTCAGCAGGTTAGAAGGGGAGACTAGGGTACCAGGTCCAGAGCCTCTCTCTGGGATGCCATCTCTGCCTACCAGCCTACTTACCCTAGAATGCCCAATGGTCTCCCCACTGCAGTCACGTGGTCATCCCTCCCCTCCTGTTGGATTCTTACAGTGGGACAGTGTCTTCATATCTACCCCCTCACTCTATGCCTCAGGGCAGTCACTGAGCAACACAGAAGCAGTCAGGGAAGGAGCAAGTACCCAGGGAGCAAACTATAGCCTGCTGCAGCTTGACCTCTGCCCTCGTGGGGGCATCTAAGGGAATGAGGCTGGTAGAGTGCTGATGGCAAAGGAACTACCAGTGTGAGCTACCTGTCACTAAGCACACAATATACTCTTACTAGGTCTGTTTTGTCCTTGTAACAACCCTCTGAAGCTGGGAGGAAGCGGGGAAGTCCCACCTTACAGGAGAGAACACTAAGGGTCTGAGGGGGAGCAGTTTGTCTAAAGTCAGCCAGCAAACGGCAGATTAGGGTCTCACTCTGAACCCACATGCACTAGAGTCTAAACTCTTCCCCACCCCTCTGGCAGGGAGAGGTGGAACTGGAGAAGAGTGTCTCAGAGCTGACAAGGTTGAAGATGGGTCATTATAAGGTAGATCGTACCAACTGAGGGGTCCCCTACTTTGCTAGTCACCTATGGAGGCCTGGAGTCTAGAAGAATGCCCGGGCAGCAGCACCCAGCAGGCTGGCAAGGAGCAAGGTGTGGAGGTAGCCAGCTTGCAGAGCCTCCTTCCAAAGCCTGGGTAGTAAACAGAGTACGTATAGCAGCTGGCCTCAGCTTGGCTACTTCCTGGTAACTCCAGCAAACTATATAAATGACAATTCACACAACAGAGTATAAAGTTGTGCCACATGTTTTACATGTCTCCAGCAACTCCCTTAGAGATTAAAACACAAGTTGCCAAAGGAATGATGGCTCCACTGAATACACAAAGGCCTGCAACTCTGCCTTGTCTATAAAACAAGGACCAAGAGCCCATGAGCCTCCAACCTTACAGGGACCCATGTGGATTGTTAAGTAGTGGTTCCTAGGTGCTCCAAGAGCCAAAGGGCTCAGGCTGACTTGGGATGGCAGCAGCAGACCCGTTACAGCCCTTTATGCTGCTATTGCATCACAGGGTGCAGGCATCAAAACCTTTTCTAATCTCTTTTTACCCCTCACAGGAAGCTGTGTGTCCCATGCAGCTGGCCCATGAGAAAGGCTTTCCAGGTAAGGCAAGAGCTCCCTTTTCCAGAAACCAGGGCTACACCTGGCTTTCTTCAAGTCAGGGGCGAGTCACACATCCCAGGGCTATCAGAAGCCAGGATGCCAGCTATAGTTCAGAGAGGGCTGAGAGATAAAATGAGGCTGGCATGCTCCAGAGGGACATCGAGGCATGCAATGGGCTGCCCCTGGCTGGGAGCTGCAGAGTTGACTCCAACTCTACTCAGCTGTCACATGGATAACAAGGCAGTTCCCTGCATAGAGCTACCCCAAGTCTCCCTCCTGCAGATCTAGACTCTGAAGGGCCACACCATACCTCCCACTTCACAGATGACAACCTGGAGGCCTAGAGATGCCAGACACTTGTCTAAGGCCACCCAGTAAAGCAGAAGTGAAAATCAGGCTGAAACCAGGTTTGGAAGGAAAGCCTTCTAGTCAGGAACACCAGCTTTCCATGTGAGGCAGGAACCTTAACAGCCAGGTTCCAGAGACTCTGGGAAACAGAACTTCTCTGTTCCAGCACCTGCCTGCTGGAGGTGACAAGGTTACTAAACAGGAGTTGCTGTTCCTTCACGTTCTCAGCACTGTGCTGTAGGAACGGGGAGGCCACAGCCACAGGGTCTGCTCTTCCTCACTCCCAAGCTGTAGACAGAGGTGCCTGATTCACAGCCGGTAGCAATGCAGCACCCCCCCCCGCCCCCGCGCCCCTAGCCCTGAGCTCTGCTGGGTCTGGGGAGACGTGGCTGCTGCCCACACCTCCCTCAATGGGCTCTTTCTCATACTTCCTGTGTCCTACCCAGTGCTGTCTTTATCTTAAAACAGGTATAGCCACCTGTCACTGGACTCACCTGGAAAGGAACCCAAAGCTATGCAGTCAAACTTTTCTGGGGGGAGGGGGGTGCGCCTGGCTTCCACATCGCCATCTAATCCCAGGCATCTGGCCACCCCATACAGGGAGGTTCTCCAGGGCCTCATTCCCTCTCACCCTGACCTTGGTGCTCTGTACCACCATGAACAGTCTTTTCATCTCCTATGACCTCTGCTCAAGAGGCTCTGAGCTTGTACCAACCTGGGTCACAGGAGTCCCAGGATACTTAGCTTCTTTAGGTGGCACAGAGCCCTAGGGATCGCGGATTATCCTCCATTTGAAATTTTTCGAATACAGATAAGCTAGGATAGAGATCTGATTCTAGTCCCAGCCAGAATACTGAGGCAGTATGCTACTGAGGCAGCAGCCCTGAGAGCTTGTGAGTGGTCTTACAGCCTCTCTACTCAGTGTGACCAAAAGCCAGTACGTTTTAGCTTCATTTAAGAGGAATGACTTTCTGAAACTTGGACAATAGGTTATTGTCTCATATTAACTGACAAATCTTGTTTTGCTTAGTTTGTTTTGAGACAGGGTCTCCCTGTAGCCCCAGCTGGCTGGGAACTCACTATGTGGACCAGGCTGGCCTTGATCTGAGATCGGTGTGCCTCTGCCTCTGTGCTGGGATTAAAGGTGTGCACCACCACACCAGGCTGACAGTTCTGAAGGGAAACAGATTAAATGGAAATACTGCTTCTTTTTCACTGGTCTTTTCACATACTTGAGTGAAACCATCAGAGGCCCTAAGGGCAAAGATAGGGTGCCGCCTGGCTCCTGGCTGAAACATGATACATATTCAAAACTTGGAATGCCATTCTACTTGGTTTTCAAACCTACAGAATAACCCTAAGACCACACTATACTTGCCTCCTCCCCTAGAAAGATCTAAAGGGGTCACTGGCTAACAATCTAATTCCCCACTGGAAATCATACTAGTGGTGTCTCACTGTTGTATCTCATCTGCCCCAGTACTATGCATGCAGTGGTGCTCAATTATGCTCCCACCCTTCTAATGGCCTACTACCTAGGTGGTGGTAGGCAGGTCAGAAGGCAAAGTGCAGATCCTGCAGGAAGGAAACAGGATCCTGTGCGAGTGTTCATAGTAATTTTCTTACCCTGCCTCACTGTGAGTCCTATAAGGTGTCATCTCTTGACCATCTATTTTGCAAAAGAGGTATGAGAGCAGAGTCAGAAGTGACCAGTGTTTCCCAGCATGAAGTTCAACCTCATTTATTCCTTCTTGTCAACAGAAGTGCCTGGGCAGTAGCCTCAGCAGTCACACAGAAAGGGCCTGGGGAACAGAGAGAGGCTGCCTTCTACCATTCTCAGCTGTGGGGTCCATCTTTCCCCTGGAGCCTGTAGTTCACCCTTGCCCAGGCCCAGTAACTGTATCAATACCAGGCCTTCTTGCTGCAGTCATGAGCTGCTGTGGGGACTCTGAGCTGCTCAAGGGAGGTTTGGTTCCACAAGTTGTTGGGGGTTTTTTGTTGTTTTTTTTTTTTTCATGTAGACTAAGCTGACCTCAAATTCAATATGTAGTTGAGGATGACCTTGAACTCCTGATTCTCCTGCTGTCACCTTTCTAGCACTGGCACTACAAGTACAGGCCACTACATGAAGTTTATGCTGGAGATCAAACCCAGAACCTTGTGTACGCTAGACAAGTACTCTACTAACTAAACTATATTCCCAGTCCCTACATGTCTTTTTTGGAAACTCTTTTTTGTCTTTTTGAGACAGGGTCTCCTCGTAGCCCCAGCTGGCCTGGAACTCACTATGTAGACCAGGCTGGACTTGAACTCACAGAGATCCCCTTGCCTCTGCCTCTCAAGTGCTGGGACTAAAGGTGTGCGCCACCACGCCTGGCTTTTTGAAAACCTTATGTCTGTGTGCGATGCTAGGGCTGAAGCCAAGGGACTTATGCATGCTAGGTGCTATCACTGAGCTATACCACCTACCCTTACTCAACTTCACTTAATAGTAAGATTAACAAACTGTTAATGACTTTGCCAGGAAAAGAAGAAAAGCCTAATAGCAACCACCAAACCCAAAGGAGTCCTGAACATTGGTTTTAAGTCCCCTTCGTGGGGGCTACCAAGGCCCAGGAATCACACGAAGCACTTGACTTGATCCTCCTTTCAGCGTCCTACAAGGTGGGTGGGTGCTGAGCCTCTGGGAGTCCTCACAGGGGAATTAAGATCCCATCCTTCTGTGTCACTCGGATCTCTGTGACATACTGAAAATCCAAGCCCACTGTCAACTCCTCACCAGCAGTGAGTGCCACTGGCTCAGGTCAAGGAGACAGAGAACCAGTTCTGACCCTGGAGAGGGGGCACTGTACTTTCAAAACCTACCCTCTGCCCTGCCCATGGGCTGTCCTGTATAGGTCAGCTCAAGGTGGCTGGAAGGGGTTGGTGAAAAGATCGAACTTTGGAGACAAGACGACTCAAGCCACAACTGCTATAGGCCTGCTTCCTGTTAGGATTCAGGATAGGATCTCTCTCAAAGCTTTCAACACTGCAGATATTCCAACTACCACGGAGAAAGCAGCTGGTTGGTTTGCTGTGGAATTCTGAGAAGGAGTAGGGGCTTCTGAGTCTGCAGAACAGAGGTTTCCCTACAAAAGTGGGCACCTGGGGCAGAGGACACAACTTCAGCCCCAGGGGAACTGGAAACCTATGGAGGGGACCCACAGCATCCTGATCACCTATAACCATGAGCGGGAGAGACAAAATAAGACTTCTAAGGAGGGCAAAAAAGGGAAGGAATATTCTAGAGAAGCTTCTGTCAGACTTCTAGAGAATTTTCAAAGGAAGGTAGAACACAACAAATTCTGCCACATTCAAATACTCAAAGGATGAGGAACACGCAAGAGCAGGTTCCAGAGCAGGAACAGCCTGTGAGACCCTTGTATAGATGAGATGGTCCTTCCCTGTGAGGTGTAGCACTGTGCCTAAGGAGATAATCACTCTTATAGCTGCAGCTATACATGGGCTGTTAGTAATTATTTCTTCCAGGTTTCTAAACTGCCTTTTCTTGGTAATGGAGCCCTCTGGATAAAAGCAACCTGGGGCAAAACCCTAGAGTATGAAGCTGGCTATGGTCTAGAGGTAAAGTGGGTGCTGGAGATTATGACTGCCAATTATTCCCAAGAACACGGATAGAGACAATCATCTGATAGGTGGGGGAATTGCCTACTGGGGTTCAGAGAAGTCAAAGTGACTCATCCAAGAACGAGTGAATGGTGAGTGGCAGGCATAACTAGGTCCCCACTCACTTGTTCCACCACTGGCTCAAACGTAGCCCTCTCCAGTCTATTCCACTTAGGTGCGCAGTATCTTTGGATTTCTGGGGACCTTACATCACAGCTTGTGATACTAGACCCTCTGCCTCCCCAAATTCCTCAAATTACATGTTGGGACACTTGCCCCTGAAGGATCTGTCACCCAGATTGATCCCTGGCTGGGCTCCTTGCCCAGGCTCCCTGGGTGTATCAGCTGTCTACTGCCCACTGAGAGGTTAACTCCTGGCTAGTCTCCCACAGGCAGGGAGGGAAACTGGGAACCTACCCATGCCCTTCTCATCCAAGAGCCAGAAATGTGGGAGACTGACAGACTGTGGAAAGAGGAGAGAAGGCGGGTGCACACTGATGGCAGGACAGACAGACAGACAGGTGGCTAGTTACCTGTGGGCCAGGCCCCATGGGCCCCATGCCTCGAGGAGGGTTCATTCTCTGCATTGATCCTCCCATGTTGGGGTGGCCTATGTGAAAAGAGTGAGTGAGCCACTGGCTGGCAGGAGTAGAGCAAGGGGAGCCCTCCCAATGCCTCGCCCAGCCCACCCTGCCCGCCTTCTCTACCTTGTTGTCGTGTGGGATCCATGGAATTGGGCAGCAATGGCTGTGTACCAGGAACTCCTCCTGGAGGCTGAAAGAGACATGAAACTCAACTCAGTAGCTGCTTCCAGAGCTGGGGAGTGAAGGCAGGGACAAGATGTATCTGCCCTACCCCACCTGTCTTCCTTCTGGGGTCATTCATAGCCTCTTCAAGATCATTCCTGCCAGCTAGGGGAGATCCCCCAGTATCAGGTGAGAGAAAATCGGGGAGCCAAGCTCTGCCGTCTGAACCTGAACACCTGCAGTCCTAAAATAATTCATGTACTGGCTTCACTATTCACCCCCATCCAAGTGGCAGTAGTGTTCCTCCCTCTAAGCTACCTGAACCCTGGGGGCTGCAGTTTAAGTCCAACGCCACCTTCCTTTTGCTTCAAAGATGGAACTCTTTTAAGTACACCTCCAAATAACAAGGGCCCAGCTGGTTAAAACCCTATCATCAAGGGAGTCTTTTTAAAAGGGAACTAGGTAAAGAGGTCTGTGAGATTCAGATGGGGTTAACTGAGATCCAAAGCTCTTAAAGCCCAAGTCATATATCAGTAGGACTACCCAGGCCTCCCAGCTTCCAACTGTTCCCACTCCAGGGGTGACAGGCAGCTACTGGAAGAGAAGCAGGGTGCTGAAGGACAGCGTGCTAAGCAGTGGGTGCTAGTGTGACAGCTGTCAAGGTGGAACAGGGTGCCGTGGGTCATGCAGTGAAAACTGACTAAAAGTAATTTACTTGGGACTGAAGTTATTTCAGCTGTAATTTGAACGAAGGCAGCAGCAGCAGCAGCAGAACCAGTATGCCTATAGGACCTCATCCTTTAGACTTAACAGGAGCATTTGCCTTATGGAGGAAAAGTCTTGATGGCAGGACCACAACTCCCGGCAATGCTCATGGAGGGCAGGGCCCAGTGACAGGGTGTCCCTGCAGGGCCTCTAGCCCTGGCTGCTACTGTAGGCAGGCTGAGGGAGAGCTCTTCTGTCTCAGGTTCCAAAGGGGTGAGAAGCAAAGGGACGGGCCCTGTTGTTTTCCCCAGCTTCAGAACAGGAGCGTATGGCTGGGGTGGTGAGGTTTCATGAGGGCCACCCAAGTCCTTTAGCCAGGCAGCATCTCAGGTTCACAAAGTGGTACTGGCATCTGTTGTGTCTGCCTGCCTGGACAGCTGATGAGACTGGGTCCCCACACCCTGAGTCAAACATCACTGACCCCTTGTTTCCTCCCCTCCAGCTCCTAAGCTATGAGTCAGCCAGCTGGTCTATGTCTGCCCACCTGGGCTGATGGTTTTTATGGAGCCTGGAAGCTTGGGGGTGGGGGTGGGGGCTCTCAGATCCCCAGTGCAGGTATATAGACCCACCCCTGTCCAGGCAGCTCTACAACAATACGCGCTTTCTGTAGAGTACCCCTCCATGGCTTCTAAACCTGCAGATTAAAGTTGTGAGTACGTAGGTTGAGGGATCTAGGAGAAGGGAGGGAAAGTGTGTAATAGCCATGGAAAGCAGGGGTCTACAGCCCTCACACCTGAAAAGGAAGAGGGGGATAATCTTGCTACGCATATCCCCTAGGGAACTACAGGGGATAGTGATGTTCTGGGGCTATTGTATTTAAATGTGGCACAGGCCCCTGAAGGTAGGCCCGCTCTTCTATAGCCCTGGCCAAGGCTCAAGAAGTATGGGTTCCAGGAGATGGACAGCTGCCCTTGCAGCTCACACCTGCCCCACCAGGAGAGTAACCAGGTGGGAGCTCCTCAAAGGTGTGTGGGGATGGGCGTTTGAGAGACTAGGATCTTAATCCATCCTTTCCTATGCCTAGCTGAAGCTCATCATTCTCTACTTACCCTCACTGAAAACAACTCTTTGCACATAGCTCTGAAGCTCTAGCAGAAGAGACTGGGGAGTCAGGCCTTGCAGGGCTCTGAGGTCTAGCTGGGACCGTGGACTTCTTGGTCTCCTGGTACCTTGCTTATTGACCTCTCCCAGAAGGCACACATGACAGATGTGTGAGCCTAAATCCTCCTTCTTGCTTCTGTGAGCTAACCATAGTGGTCCCAACTGAGACATTCTCCATAAAATACCTCAGGAAAGGGCAGATTCCTCTATGGGGGACAAAGATTTCTGATGGAAGTGGTGGAAAGATTAGGAAAAATGACTTGGGATGCAAGGTTTGGATGGTGAATCTATTTTTCATCAGTTCTCTTGGGTCCCTGCTGCTCACATCCGCTCTGTGGTCCTGAATTGCTAGAGGACGAGCCCAATTACAGTTAAGAAATGTCTGCAGCTCTCTATGGTAGATCCTAATTGGGCCAAAGCCAGCCCCTGAGTGGGCAGCGGGAAACGTCACTGTGATGCCCACACATGCAACAGCAAAGGAGTCCACCAGGTGAGTAGTAAAAGCCAGGTGGGGCAGTCATGCTCCGACAATGAAGTAAGTAAGAAGGGTGGGGTGAACGGAATCTGCACCAGCCAGAGCCCACCTTGCCTCGCTGTGAGGTTCTGGGAAGTCACTCCTCTACTCTACCTTCTGTTTCCTCATCTGTGACATACCCAAGAATTCCTTGTTGCTAAAAGGCTGGGTCTCTAAATTCTCTTTGTCCATATCTGTCCCTTTTGTGTTGGAGAAAACAGGAAACAAAGGACTTTGGAATAGGAAAATAGCATGGTAGAAACCTGCCGGGCAGTTTCATGTCTTAAAGGTCCCTCTACAGTCCCCATGTCATGTCACTGGAGTTTTCTTTCAGTCTTGGAGAGCACCAGACTAGGTGACTGAACTCCCCCCAGCTGCAGGGCCTGGAGCTGGATATATTGGCATTGCTGTCAGATTTTTTTTGAAGAGCTTTTGCAAATTATTGGAAAAATTCTAGTTAAAAAAAGAAATTCTGGCACAAAAAGATATCTCCCTGATGCCTCCCTAAGGTTGTTTCTCTCTGACCATCCTTGGCAGAGACATCTGTACTTCTCCAGCCCTCCCACCCTTGATGGGCTGGACCCTGGAAGGCCACTTGAGAACCCATTTCTTCAGCCCACCCCTAACTGCCAACCATGACAAGACAGAGGAAGGCATTCGACCCTGGCCTGAAAAAGCCCTCTTCGTAGGCAGAGTACTTTTCCAATTACATGAACACACCTTTCCTTGTTTCAAGTTGTGCCTGAGAAGTAGGCCGACTTTGCTGAAAACCTCACAAACACCCTGCTCCTCTACAGCCAGGTCCCTGATCTAAGCATTCTCACAGGCCATTTCTCCCCCTAATAGCAGGATTATATTTACCAGCCTTGGCAAAGGCTTCCAGGGAAAAATGCACATTATCAATTAACTTTATTAAAGAAGAAGACCTTTTTCTAAGAAGGGGCTGGAAATGGGGGGTAGGGTCATTACCACTTTCTCTAGGAGAACCAAGTCCCTGCAATCCCACAAGCTGCTTTACTCTGAAACCCATTCAGGCTGTGTGAGGATCTCTGTGACAAGCAGGTTAAATGCTGTACCATGGGCTCAGAGCAGCTTGTTGGCAAGGTTATCCCACCTTAAAACCTGACCCTCAACCCCTTAACCCTGCCATTCAATTTTGACTTGGGTGAAAGTGCACCTAGAGTCAAGGATGGTTGAGTGAGGGGAGAGAGAACATGAAAAGGTACAATACCTGGTTTCCCATTCTGATCGGGGGCCTGGGGCCGCCTGCGTATCTCGGTGACATAAAAGGCTGCAATTATAGGGAATTAGTTCAATGACAGCCTGAGCTACTGTACAGTGACAAACATAAATGCTCTGTACTCTGCAGAGTCCAGTGTATTACAACTAGTGATCTTTTAAGCTCTCTCTAGCCTAGTAAGCCTCTTCCTTCCAGGCAAACTACCCTTGGACAGAGGAACAATAGATCCACGCAACACATGTCTCCCAACCTGCACTGGCTTGCAGGGATCTACTTTGGGTGGAGGGGCAGTGGCTGGGACTTTAAACAGGACACAGACCAGCTAATCAATGCAGGGCAAAGGAGGCCACCTCTGCTCTCCACAAGGGCAAATAAAAACAAGAAAAGGGACCTAGACATAGCGTCTTCAGGTCTGCAGACAGCGCTGGACACGCGCACATGCACACACGTGCACACACAGAGAAACCACCGACAGGGAGGAGTGGGAAGGGAGCAAGGACTTATGGGAAAACACGATGGCAACCATAAGGGGCAGCGGGCTCCTTAACTTAATGCAGGGAAATGGGCAAGAAAGCTTTCTCAGCAGCAAGAGCGCACAAAGAAAAGGCTAGGGATGCAGCCTCGTTACAAACAAATGGTTAACCAAACTCAAACCAAACAAAAGTGAGAGGAAAAAACAAAACGTAAAGGCCACTGACAAGGTCACAGAAATATTTTTTTTTCTTGGTTTCATATCCAAACTGGGTGTGATGCCAAGAAATGAAGACTATCTTTAGAAAAATATTCTTTTTAAATTAAACTTGTCAATTAAGGCAGGAAGGCAATGCTGGAGCACATTTTGATTTTTGCTTTTCCTCTGCGGCTCTCTCCTTCCTCCTGCCCCGTGCCCCTTGGCCGGTGGGCCGGCGAGCCACAGTGCGTTTACCTGACTGTGGGGTCCCATCATGCTGCTGGGATTGTGAGGTGGAGGCTGTGCGTGCGGCGAGGGCTGTGACCCCGGAGGACCCTGTGAGGCCAGACAGTAGAGGCAGGTTATAGATCACAGCACATGGAGAAGCGCAGAAGAAGCTTAAAAGAACAAAAATTAAACCAAAACGCAGAGTGGCGGCGGGCGTGCGGGTGGTGGGCTTTGGCTGGCAGGAGGTGGTGGAGCGCTGCTTGGGTCCTGGTTCAATGGCGAACAACGGCGGGCAGGCGGGAGGGAGGGAGGCTGATCAGTACATTCACAGGGGATTTGGAAGAATGAAAAAAATAAAACAAAGCACCGTCATCAAAGCACACAGGAGCAAGGGCAGGACACAGGCTACCATTGAACAGAATTTGCCATGTTAAATATGCTGGTTGACCAACTCAGGACAGTGATACAGACAGGGCCCCTGGACCCAGATGCAAGCCTGCAAGGGTAAAGGAAGGAATCAGGTGAGGCCCCAGCCCCTGAGGAGCTCACATTCTAGGGACAAAGACCAAGTAACCTGAGTCAGTTGGGGCAATATTCATCAAGGGTCTGCTGGTGGAAGTAGGGCAGTGGGCACTGATGGATGAACACAGACAGAGGCAGAGTGGGAAGTACTAGGGTCGGAACCAATGGGGAAATAAGAGGGGCAGAAAGTTGCCAAGCACCCACCCAATGTGGGCAATGCCAGAGCTCTTCTGTTCACGAACTCACAGTTCAAAGGGACCCTGTAAAGTGGTGTCTCGTTTCAACTTTTAACAACGAGGAAACCAAGTTAAGAAATAAAGAAACTGGGCCATGACCATACAACCTTTTTTTTTGAGACAGGATCCCCCTGCAGCCCCACCTGGCCTAGAACTCACTATGTAGACCAGGTAGGCCTTGAACTCAGAGAGCTCCGCCTACCTCTGCCTCCCAAGTGCTGGGACTACAGGCATGCGCCACCACACCCGACTCAACCATACAACTTTTAAGAGGTAGAGTTCAGGTTGAGTCAGGCTGAGCAGCCCAGGGTCAAGTGGGGGTAGGAACTATCACTGATAGGTGGTTCAGTGGGTGGAGGAGCTGGCTTCCCACACCAGGTGATGGGGAGCCACCTGCAGTTCTAAGCTGACCCAAAGCTCTAAGATATGCTGACCTCAACTCCCTAAAGAACAGATGAGGATATGAATTCACTTTAACCATAGAGCTGGTCAAATATCAGTGGGTGGCGAAATCAATTTAGTAAGTTGCAACCACTATTTTTTTTTAAACATGGAGTGACCTTGTATAGGGAGGGAGGGAGGGAGGGAGGGAGGAGAAAATCATAGAACCTTATTTATGTGTCATACATCAGGATCTCTCTCAAGAACTACATTGGGGGGGGTGTAGACTGGAACACAGTAGTGTGTTTCCTACTATGGGTCACAGACATTGCCTTAGAAGCATCTTCTGGCCCTGGCCCAGCATGCCACTGAGACCTAGACTCAGGATGGGGATAAGAGGCGTACCTTAGAAGTACCCTTTTCCACAGGGATGGTCCCTTAGCACTGGAAGTCATTTTGAAAAAAATTCCAAACAGAATGGAGGTTAAATGTGGTTAAATTTTTACAGGGAAAGGGAGCCAGCTATATTGGTAGGGTTTCCATCCTCAGTTTCATTTCTCAAAGCTAGACGGCCAGGCTCTGCTCACTGGGAGGCCCCATCCTGGAGCTGGGGAGGAGGCGGTAGTGGAGAGATAGTGAAGAGGTGTGCAAAGCAAGAGGGACAGCTGCCGGCAGCTGAGGGCACCACTGGGGAAAGGCCTAGAGCTTCTCGGCTAAGTGAGGGACTGTTCACTTCCGGAAAGCTCCGAGGAGCAGATGTTCCCCTACCTGCCATGCTACTAATTTCAACAAGTGTGTGTCTTTCTAGCGGCTGCCAGCAACGGCATGGTTTGTTACCATGAGCAATTTTCTTAATTAACAGACATTAATTAGCCATTTAGCAATTTTGCAAGCATTTGTTTAGCGGCTTTCCTAAACATGAATACCACTGTGATAATGGCACTGATTAGAGGGTCCCCTAATTAACAGTACAGGGAAAGAAAATTGAAATCACATAAATTAAAAAGGGAGGGGAAGTTAATGAAGGCGGGACATATTTGCACCTGCAAGTCTTTTGTACCACAAAACTTGGGTGTAACATAAACAAAACAAGATAATTCAAAGCCAACCCCCCAAAAAAAGAAATTTAAAAAGAACGGAGGAAGAGGGTTCAAGGGTAAGGTCCAGTTGGTGAGCAGGGGCAAAAGCCTGTCTGTTGGTTCCTCAGCTCTTGGCAACAGGGATCACCTCCTCCCTAACAGTTCCCCTCTCCCTCCCTGGTCACACAAGTGCTTTTGCAGAGCAAGGTCCTCAGACCTGTGTGACCCATTGGCAGAAAAGGTCCTAGTGGCTGCCTCACTTGCTAAGTAAGAGAAACAAATTGGAGGCATCCACAGGTGCTCACTAGGCAGTCTTGAGGGTCAGTGCTCAGTCTCAGGTCTGAAGTCAGGCTGGCCAGAGCAACCTTAGACTGTTACGGCCAGGAGCTCCCCCACGAGCTCCCTCGGGTACAGAGGGCAGGGCTGGTTCTGAACAACTGGGAGATAGCAAGCTTGCCACTGTAAGACACAAGGCTGTTGGTGAGGCTCTGGCCCACTGCCATGTGGGGGCAGTGAGAGAATGGGCTGATAAGCCTGGGGGTGGTCAGCAGCTCTGATATTTCCTCATGGACTTGAAGCTGGGTCAGAACACTGAGGACCAGAGAACACCTGGCCCAGGCCAGAGAGGAAATCCTATCACAACCTCAATCCAGACAAAAAAAAAAAAAAGGCTATATAAGGCAACCCCTGCCCATCAGGTGCTGACAAGCTGCTGTTTACAAACCTCTAGACCCAGCCCCTGACCCTGTTTCAAGCCTGCTTCATGGGTCCTAAGCAAAAAGCCAACCACTTCCCAGTAGGTCACTCATGTTCTCTGTACCCCTAACCATCTTTCAATAGGCTGTGTTGATACTAAGACTGTCTGCATCATCCCAGGAGGGACCCCACACAGTCTGGTACATCCTCAGGAAGAAAGAACAGAGTCGTGTTCAGAGAAACATTTGCTCCTATGAAGAAAATGGCAGGTGTATTGCTGCCTCCACTGCCCTGTTTTATTAGTCTACAAACAAGTAGCCTCATCTTCCCTCCCGGACAGCATAGCATTTTCACAGAGACTTGGAGGTTGATTTAAGAAAGGGAATTCTATGGTCTTTTTGATTTGTTCCACAAGGGCAAAATATAACATAGGAAGTAAGACAAAACAAACAAGGTTCCTGCTAGAGGTTTTTGCCCTTTGTTGAGATGAGAGTAGCTTTCCTCAACAGGTCCCCAAAGACTGAACATATAAGCCCAGCGGGATGAAAAGGAGGGTATCCCAATGCCCACATTTTTCCAGGCAGGCAGGACAAGTTTCCTGTGGGCTTCTTGGGGTCCAGCTGCTGAAAGCTTTTTTTTAAAAAACATTTTATCTATTATTTTTATTTTATGTGTGTAAGTATATTGCGTGCATTATGTAGCATACCCATGTTGTACAATGTCCATGGAGGTCAGAAGAGTGTCAAATACCCCTTGAACTGGAGTTACAGATGGCTGTCAATCACCACGTGGGTGCTGGGAATTGAACCCAGGTTCTCTGTAAAAGCAGCCAGTGTTCTTAACCATTGAGCCATTTTTCCAGCCCCTGAAAGCTCTTGAAGAACCTAAAATAGCTGTGTCTAGAAGCCTGCTTGGCTAAGATGGTCTCCTCTCACTGGTGGTAAGAGTTTTAATGTCACAAGTGCTGCATAACACTAGGCAGATCAGGATGGCTGAGCCTTACTAGGAGCTGAGGAAAAACTGCACCTGCCTAGAAGTCACTTGTTTATAGATGGCACTGTTTTGACAGACTCATCTCTTCCCCCAGTGTCCTTCACTTACAGGGAAAAAGTGGTCCGGGACAGGGATGGGACTTGTCCAAGGCCACCAGGAACTAAGCTTTCTAACTCAGCCAGGGCTCACTATATAGCACATAATGCTCCCATCTACATCTACCTTAAAGAAACAGGGTTTTAAAAAACCAAGTTTGAATTCTGGCTCTAACACTGACTGCAGATCTGTCCTCTTTGCACACCAGCTCACTTAATCCTAGACTCTACATAGTAAGAGACACCAATCACATCATTTTATAGTCAATGAACAAGGGTCAGAAAGCTGACATCAGTACTGCAGATACTAAGTGGTGGAGGTAGGCTCCAAGTCTGATTCAGGAACCTGGGGGTCTAGGAAAGCGACCCCCACCCCCATTCTACAAGCCTGTGAGCAGCATTTCTATGTCCAGGAGAGCTTCTAGGCTAAATGGGGAAGGTGATCAACAAGTGACAGACAAGACTGAATGCTCACATAACTTGCCTAGGGGGTCTAGTAGTGATGCCTAGTTCCTTCTCACTTTCCAGAGGTAAACTGAGGCCCAGAGTGGCTATAAAATGTGGGCTAGCAGGGCTGGAGAGATCGCTCGGCAGTAAAGAACACTGACTGTTCTTGCAGAAGACCCAGGATGAAAGCCTAGCACCCACATGGCAGCTAACTGTCTGTAACTCCAGTTCCAGGGGATCCGACAGTCTCTTCTGTCCTCCGAGGGCATTGCACAACATGGATGCACTTACCCACATGCAGACAATACATGCATACACATAAAATAAAAATAATAAAATTTTTTTTTTAATGTGGGCTTGCTCCCTTCATGAGCCACTACAGAGCTGGGATATGAATTATAGTCCTGCAGTAGATCAGATGTCTTTCTACTGCACCTCACTGTCCATGGAGTGATAACAGGGGAGTCGAGGAAATCCAGATGAAGACATATCCCTGCTCCTAAGTCCTGGAAAAACTGGAAAATGTACCCATATCTTTGCAGCCTTCACACTGTCCCAGACCCTGTTAATGGACTTGCCCTTCCTCACAGCTGGCTCTAGCTCTCCACCTGCACACACCTAACCTCCACACTTCCTTTTCCCTTCTTTCCTGTAATTTC